TATTCAGTGAAAATCTAACTCCGAATTGAATCTTGATCATACATTTCATGTCAGCCAAGAAATCATCTAAGAAAACAACATGTTCTTCATCCTTTGAAACATGTATGCGTCTTCATAATTTGTGTGATCGTTTCGAACCAAAAAAAAAAGAATTAAAACAGATCCACAATATTTTTTTCCAAAACACAATTATGCTATTTTCTCGCTATTTCCATTGAAATTTTGATACTGCAATTATTTTGCCAAAACACAGTTTTCTGCCAAAACGCAGTTTTGCATTTGTTGACAAAAAAAAACGCAGCTTTGCATTTAATTTGACCAAAATTATATACAATACAACTCCACAGTTTTTCCCCTAAAACACGATCTAATATATATAATTTTGTTTTTTTTTAAAACACAGAGTTCCATAACTTTTTATTAAAAACATGTGTTTGTATGCTAGGCTTAAAACTTGATTCTGCTATCGCGATTTTTCTGTCCACAATTTTCTGCAAAAAAAGTGCTTTTATGTAGCTTAATTTAATTTAACATGTTTGTTACATACAGTAATCTTTGAAAATGTGTTATTTGAGAAAAGTCACCTTACTAAAACTGCAACTGGAAGACAAATCAAACATGTTATACGTTAAAAAAAAAGAAAAAAGTACTGCAATTGCAACTCAACCCATCCCCAGGCCCAACCACAGGCCCACCTTGTCATCAAACAAGCTCAGACTTCAACGGAGACAATGCTCCTTCTTCTTCTGCCTCATTTTTTTCGATTCTACAGTGTCTTTTCAAAATTGAAGGTATAATATGTGCAAAAATGCATTCAAGTAGTTTCGATTTATCTTCTGATTCTGATTCTGATTCAAATTAAATAAGTACTGACATAACTGTTAGAGTCCCACATCGGAAATAAATAAATTAAAATCCTTGGACAATATATATATAGTATGAGGCAAACCTCCTCTCTTGAGCTAGCTTTTGGGTGTTGAGTTAGACCCATTACTAATATGGTATCAAAGCCAGGTTCAACTTTCTCGAAAGTGGGCTACCATCCGTGAATATCCAGTCCCACAAACTTCACGCTTCAGATGTCCAGTCCTGAGCGTGAGGAGGGTGTGTTAGAGTCCCACATTGGAAAGAAATAAAATCCTTGGGCAATATATATAGTATGAGGCAAACCTCCTCCCTTGAGCTAGCTTTTGGGTGTTGAGTTAGGCCCATTACTAATAATAACTTGTCAACTATGAAAGGTATGTTAAGTTTGGAGATGGTGAAATACTACATCAATTTACTAACTAGAAATCTATATGATCTATGATCCTCAAGCCAATCCCATCTATTTAACATGTTTTTAGATATTGTATGAATACTTGAAGTTGTAGAATCGGAAACTAATATAAGATAATTGATTGAAGTTGTAGAATCGGAAACTAATATAAGATAATTGATAAAAGATATAATTATTTTTGATAATTTTTTTTTGTCAACAACGTGTGTTATGGAGTTTTCAATTCGGATAGTGACACATTGACATAAACCAATATATGTATTATATTGGTCTGTTTTGGTATTAAACTTATATATGTTAAAACAACTAATATTGAGGCATATCAAATTTCCATTAAGTATCAAAAGACATTTCGATTTTCTCACGTTACAGACAAAACGATTCTTTTTTTTTTTTTTTTTTTTTTTACAACGATTCTTAATTACGTATACTATTACCAAAATCCATAACAAAATGTACACTCTTCTACATGATAATGCAAGAATTAGGATTCTCATCGCTAAACATAATGGTGTAAGAGTCATCGACGGTGGTCTCGTTGACAGAGGTTGTGTCGGGGACTTTCCGAACCATGTTTGGTGGTGCCTTCTTGTCATACGCCTGAGATATGTACGGATTCGCCACCATTGTGTAAGGAACGTAAGGCCATAACTCCACTTTCTTCTTCGTTGACTTGGCCGCCTCCAAAACCTTCTTCGGCTCTATATATCCCGTTACCGTTACCTTTTGCAGCTTCACGTCTACGTCCACTGACTTCACCCCTGTCCAAATGAGTCAAAAAAAAATTAAATCCATTTTTCATATTTTTTTTTCTTAGGAGTCACATTTTCTAAAGTGCAACGAGTCTATAAATTGTAAATAGCACCGGATAATCAGAGTTCTATCGTAGTGTCTGACTAAAATTGGTCCAAAATGTGATATATATTCAAAAATACCTAAAACACATATTTCATGATGAGATTCAAGAAAACCAAAGTTTTTGACATCAAAGAGCCAAACACAAAGTAATTGAGACCAATCCGGGGCCGGTCTAATGTTTCCAGATGTCCACTCGAAATTTAAAAGTGATACCCTTTAGCTTGAGTTATTCTTACCTTTACTTTTCTAAAAGTTGGCATTTAAAAAATGTCGGATCCGAAATATTAATGTTTTTCTTTGCCTATGCTTTAGACCGGGCATATACAAAATACCAAATTTTGTTGTCAATTAAGATGGAAAGTAGTGGAATGAATTCGATCCGTGGCTTCGACCAACATGGCAAATCTCTAACCATTAATGGATCATGGTGGTTGCCTAAAACTGATTTCTTATATAATTTTTTTTTTTTTTTTATAATTATACATAAAGTGGATACGCCTTCGGCTTTCATGTTAAACCATACGTACATATATCTAAATACATACCTTTGACACCGGAGAGGATATGTTTGATCTTACGTTCACAACCTTCGCAGTCGATACGAGCAACTCGGAGAGCTACTGTTTGCAGTTGCTTCTTCTTCTTCCTCTTCCTCTTCTTCAAAAAGTCCGATATATACTCCATAGTTCCTTCCACTCCCATTTTCAGTCACACCAATTCTCTTTGCAGTTCTTTTTGTTTTCTCTTGAAGAACTTGAGAGAAGACGAGAAATATGTTTTAGAAGAGTGGTAAAATGAGGAAGAAAGGCTCTCTTTTTGTACCATATACAGTGGTGCATGGGATATTCACCTTATTTAAATTTATCTACAGTGAGTGCATTTCGTGTAGTCAAATGGATGTGACTCATGTGACAATGGCAGATTATTTGTTTATTTGTTAGAGTGTTTTTCTTTTGTTTAGTAAAAATAAAATAAAATAGGATTTTGTTAGAGTGTTTTTCTTTTGTTTAGTAAAAATAAAATAAAATAGGATTTTTTTTTTATAATTTACATTATTGCCTCTGAAAGAACAATACAAAGGTCATTAATTGCTTTTGGGGTCTCGTGGATAGTACAAGAAACTTGCACCGATGTCAAATGTGATTTAAAATAACTAGGGACAAAATGTGATTTTAATTATATTAAAGCATAACCAATATTAAAACATATATGATCAATTATAAATATAGAATGCATAGATGAATAATAATTTAATTATTTATTTTTTATATCCAATTTTCCCAATAATCATTATAACCCATGCAAGCCTTTGGCATTTAATCATTATAACCCATGCGAATTTTCAAATTTGGGACGAAAAAAACATGAACTTTCAAAATGTCATTTAAATCATAAAGTTTAAATTGACTTTTTGACAAAATAGTGAAGTTTAGTTTGACTTGGCCATTTCGGACATACCGTTAAATTTCCGTTAACCAGACGATCACGGTGTTAAATTTTTGTTAAAACTCTTTGTTGAATCAAAACGACGTCGTTTTGAAAATCTGAAACGACGTCGTTTTATTAGAAAATAAGATGGAAAAACAACATCCACCGAGAATCGTACAGCTGACCTACTGGACTAATGAGAGGCGCTCAACCGTTGTGCTACAATAATTTTTTGGTATTGTACCAAACCGAACATATATATACTAACAAATAACTATGTACAATTTTAAATATTAAATATACTTACCATAAATATATATTTTGAAATTTTAAATATTTAATTTTATATATAAAATTTGCTTCTATATTTAAAAAAAATTGTTTCCTAAATTATAAAAAACAAAACTGAAACTTATAGAATATATTAAATTAAATATATGACATAAAATTTATACAATCCTTCTCACATAAATGTAAAATTTATACAATCCTTCTCACATAATATACAATCTTTAATCCTATAATTTATACAATCTTTAATCCTATATTTATGTTAGAAAGATTGAATAAGTTTTATGTCATATATTTAATTTTCTATACTCTATAAGTTTCAGTTTTGTTTTTTATAATTTAGGAAAAAATAATTTTCCAAATAAAGAAGAAATCTTTATATATAAAATTAGTATTTGAAATTTCAAAATATTTATTTATTTAAGTATATTTAATATTTGTATCTGTTTGGTAATAATTTTTTCTAGTTTTGTTATTGTTAACTAATTGTATATAGTTTTAGTTAATTGTACATAATTATTTGTTAATATATATATGTTCTGTTTGGTATAATATCATAATGTTATTGTAGCGCAATGGTTGACCATCTCTCGATAGTCTAGTAGGTCAGCTGTTCGATTCTCCATGAATGCATTGTTTCCATCTTATTTTCTAATGAAGCGACGTTGTTTCAGAGTTTCAAAACGACGTCGTTTAGACTCAACAGAGAGTTCTAACTGAAATTTAACACCTTCATCTTCTGGTTAACGGAAATTTAACGGCATGCCCGAAATGACTAAGTCAAACTAAACTTCACTATTTTGTCAAAAAGTCAACCTAAACTTTATGATTTAAATGACATTTCGAAAGTTCATGTTTTTTTCGTCCCAAATTTGAAAGTTCGCGCATTTTTCGACATTTTTCCCATCGTCGTTTGTTTATTTCTATACAATTAAAAAAAAAAAAAATTCCTTAAAAATACATCAAGTGTTTTTCAATTTTAAGAAAAATACATAAAATTTTGTTTGTTTTAGAAAGATACACAACTCTTTGTTTATTAATTTTAATATATAAAGTTTGAACCGTATGTTCAATATCCAATCTATAAAAAAATGTATGTTAACCTAACTAATAAATTTCGTTTTTTTTTCTTTTTCGAGCTTGTAACAAATAAAACATTACTAATTTGAAAAGTTGAAAACAACAACATATATTTACGCAATAACTATTTCTTTCTCCCTTTTTATCAAAAAAAAGAAGAAGAAAAAAATATATATATATATTTCTATATTTGTTTGTCAAAGTTTGGTATTTGCGTCCGTCTAACTTGCATACTAACAAACAAGAATTTCTTTGAAAAGCATGCATGTTGATACGAGTCAAATTAGATTTATAGACTACTCTTTTAAATAAGAGATCAATTACAGTACTTTAGGGTCGAATTCTATAAAATTTTTTTGTTCACACAATAAGTTAACAGTTTCAAAATTAGGCTAAATAGAATATTAAGCAAATTCAAATAAAAACAAGCAATTAAATCATGTGAAAATTCAAATGAATTAACGCGTCAGGTTTAGGAAAATTTTCAAGAAATAATATAATAGTAAATCTAGCAAATTAATTAGGATTATTATCGAACCGTTCTAGAACTCAAAACACTAATGTATAGCCAACCTCCTATCGGATACATTGACTAACTAGTCTAATATCAGGTAATTCCACCCTTTCGAATGCGAACTCCTAGATCTAGACTAGCATTAAAAACAGGTTTGATATGTTCACAAATATTCCTAGACCTCCTCTCGAATGTATCTAGAAATCTTTGCCCACCTAAGATAGTTCCAGTAACAGGCACCCTCTCGGATCAAAACCAATTATCGTATGATCAAGTTCTAGTTAGCTACTCTTGAACTAGCATTAAGAACAACCTAAGGTGAAAAACTCTATAGATTAATCCTAACAGAAAATCGATTTACTGATTCATCTAAATCCCTAATGACAATCCCTAAACCTAACAGGGTGATTACTCAGACATGATTAATGAAACAGAAAACATGTTTAAATAAATTGCAAAATAAGATATCAAAAGAAGAAAAGAGTTTAGAATAAATCTTCTCTCTACAGGGTTTTGAAATATCTGAAAAGTTGCTCTCTTCAATTCTCTTCCAAAGGGTTTAAGCTCAGAGAATTACAAAGCCAAAAGCAAAAAGCAAGATTTAAGATAATGAATTAGAAAAACCCTAAAAACTATTTATAAAGTCTCCAAAAACGTGCAGGGACTAAAGTTGCAAATAGGGAAGTCTTCTAGGTTGATTCTTCGGGCTTTAAAAACTCCAAACCGTCGAGACTTTTTGCTGGGCCTCGTGTGGTGTCGAGCGACACCAAAAGGTGTCGGTCGACACTCATGCCTTGGTCTGACACCGAAATCGTTTCTTCAGCTCTAAATCTCTGGTTTAGTTCCAGAATAGTTCCTTATCTCCAGATTTGTCCCGAACTTGTAAAAACCTGAAAATACTCAAAAAGACTCTAGAAACAACAAAAAGACTCAACAACTGACACATACATCACGGCTAAAATCGGTAAAATCCGTGATATATCAACTCCTCCAGAATTAGCTCTTGCTTGCCCTCAAGCAAAACACAAAAACCGAACCTGTGTAAGAAGTTTGAAAACACAGAAACTCCCAATTTCTCTAGCCTATTACCGTTATTATTCAAACCAAATCCAAATGCCTAGCAGATCGCATCAAATCCTAACCACCATGTAATTCTCTGCAAGCATTCTCAACATTCCAAATTCCAAACCAAATTCCACAACTATATCCTATAGCCCTCATCGCATAAATCTCATCAATAAAATCAGTACTCAAGAACCTTCTGGACTCATTCCCGTACTATACTATGATAAATCAACCATTTCAATATTTCCTTGGTATTCTTTCCCTCCCCCAAACTAATTCTCTTTTTTTTTGACAAAGGTGTAGACGAATAATGGTATCATCGGAAATGTTCCTAACCTCGCATCCAACTTTTGTGTGATCATTCCTTTGGAAGTAAAATAATGAGATAACGGGAAATTTTCTTATCTCTTTACTCCAAAAGAAAATCATCTCAATCTTTTTTTTTCGTTTTTTTTTTTAATATAATGGAGAGAAATACCATTCTTTTTCCACATTGGTCTCATTTATCAGGTATGAACGAGGAGTCAAGTTCTGAAAATACTAACCGTATTGACGAGGTGAAGAGCATGAACTTTGCTCAGGCTTTAGCGGATTGTGTTGAAAACGTGGATGTCCTCTGGTCTATTGATTAACTCTTTGGATTTTCCATTAGTCGGATTGATTTTAATCTACAGCATTAAACTAACCAGGCAATAATCTAGAGAAAAAGATCAAAATTTCCAACAAAATTTTGACTCAATAAAACGACTCAAAAGAAAAAGAAAAATAAAAATAAGACTCAAAAAAAAAAACATAATTAGTAACTGCCGCTCCCAGACTTAAACGACACTGTTCCAGTGGCATTCAAATCCGGAGTTAGCGAAAATAAAATAAAAAGAAAAACATCAATAAAATAAAAGAAAAACAAAAAAACATACCAGTGGATTGCCTCCCACTAAGCGCTTATTTTCAGTCATTAGCTTGACTATGTCGGGTTTCAGGAGCAAGGTGGAGCGGAAAAAGTGTTTGAAGACTTCTCAGAAGACCGACGCCTAGCCATCCATGGTGGAGCATAAGCGTTGGAGGCGTGCTCATGTCCAAGGAAACTGGTAGAAGCTGCAGCGTCCGTTGTTCCGTTTCCTGCATCAACAACAGAAGAAACAATCACTCGAGAATCTCGTGGCTCGTTTACCTGTGAAGCCTTCTTCGAAGATATGGAAGTATTAAGTGAAGAAGGTAAGGATGAGGAGGAGATGTGCAATACCTTTGCTGATCAAGGCGTGTATGTATCGGGAACAGCTCCTGAACAATTGGCATTGTCTGCAGTCCCAACAACAGTTTTCGCCAAAATCCGCTTCTCTGCTCGTCGTTGGTGTCGGTCGACACTAGTCCGTCTGAACGATACTGAGTTGCAGTAGCGGCTTCTGTAGGTGCAGTAGAATCCAATTCCTCCGCAGATTCCCGTGTAGATTCAATAG